GAAATCTCATGAAATCTTTAAAAACTATTCTCATTTATAATTCTTCCTGGTAATAGGTCAGTCCTTTATTTAATACAAAAAATCCACTCCTGACATATTCAGTAAATCTGATAAAAGAGGCCCATGATTATCTAAAGCTTCATGAACCCTAGTTCAGACCCATATCTGAAACCTTGTGCATGTGTATCTCAAAAAAGGAACAGGACTGGTGGAGAGATCAATGTTTAGCAAGTGAGGCTGCATCCCACACACCCAAAGTGCTTGGTACGCTGAGGATGCTCTGAACAACCATGAAAAAAAAAAAAAAAAATAAACGAATCAATCAGTCAATGAACAAATGAGCAAGGAGGTGGTGACTCCTTCTAGAATACCATTTTCAAGGAGGCCTACCCATGTTCGTTATGACCTGTCTAGACTGCAGGATGTGAGAAGTTTTCAATGAAGCCCAAGGCACCAGCCAAACACTTTCAGAACAGACCCTGGAGATACTAAATGATGAATCTATCAGGAATGATTAATCACTTGAGAAAACAGAACCTGAACCTGAGAGGCGAAGCAGCTGACAGGAGGGGAATTCTATATGGAAAACACGGGTGTTAAACACCCACCGCCTGTGGCAGGAGAATAAATCATGTTGCCAACAACATTTGGAAGATAGGGGAAGGTTAAGGAGAAGAGAACTGGAAATCCAGCAACCACAGAAGGGTTTCTCAGGTAGGAAGGGAAACCTGGGCTGGGACCTACAGAGGGAGATATACCAAGTGTTCTGAAGACAGCTGCGGTGACCCAGCTCAAAGCCAAATGATGAGAAGGCTAACAAAGGGCAAGAACAGAGGTCTTATCTCCTCAAAGACCTGGGCAATTGCCTGGCAGAGTGCTTTAAGAGAAGAGGAAGAACTGCCGTTCAAATTCAACTATTTGGCAGCCAAGTAATTGCATGCCATTTTTTACCCCAATATGGAATGCTTGCATTTTTGTGAACTTCAAACATGAAGAATAAAGCCTTTGTGCATTCTGTGAACTTTCCAAGTAAAGTAAGAAACAGTCAATAAGATTATGACTGTTTTGTAATTTGCAATCTGCCTAGATTCCTGGGCTAGAGTTTGGTGTATGTGGATTCTAAAGTCTAAAAACCTGGGTCAATTAATACAAAATGTCCAGAATAGTCAAGTCTATTCTAAGAGACAGAAAGTAGATCCGTGGTTGCCCAAGATGGGGAAGGAAATTTGGGGGAAATAGGAGTTTCTTTATGAGATGATGAAAATGTTCTAAAATAAAGTGGGGTGATGGTTGCACAACTGTGAACATACTGAAGATCTTTGAATTGCTCACTGAGAAGGTGAGTTCTATGTGATTTATATCTTAATAAAGCCATTAAAACAAAGCAAGAAAACCCTGGGTCAGCATCCTAACTGTGTACCTTGCTGGTTACATGCTCTTGAGAAAGCTATTTACCCGTATCTCTGTTTCCTCATCTGTAAAATGGGAATGATATGTCAGCACCAGCTACCTCATAAAGGGGGATATAAATCCTCAGTGAGGTCACATCTGTGATGGGAGCACACACAATTCCTATATGTGGTAGAGATGAAATAAATGTCAGCTACCTGTCCACTTGTCCCAACGTACCGGTAACAAATAAATGAATTCACCTGAGAACTGAGTTTGAGGGTTAGATTGATGGTTCCCAATAGAGGGTGCTCAAGCCTCCACAGAGCCTAGAAATTAGCCACTGGGCATCCTCTGGCTATTTCCTGCAGGAGAAACTACCTAAAGTTGCAGTTACCTGAGCTCTGACTGCTAAACACATCAATTTTCTTTGCTTTGGGCTAAAAGAGATGAACTCAGCATAGTTATTTGCCAATCGAAAGTTCAGCGTGGCCATTATGTAAGTCTTTGGTTAATTATGTAATTATTACTTTGTAAATGCTGTTCATGTGAAAGTCAAAAATCTTTCAAAACACGGGGCTCAGGAAATGAACTAATAATAGGGTTTGAGTGGTGAAAGGGTTGAGAACCACTGAACTGGTGCCTCCAAGCTCTGTTCTTTGGGTTGAGATTTGGAGGATGGGTGTTGGCAGCGACAGGGAAGAAAGGCATTTGTGTCATTGCATGGTACTTGGAGGGCAACTTGGGTGACAGCTTGGAGCACGAGAGGCCTAGAGTGTGTGGGGAAGAGAAAAAGGCCTCAATCTGGCTCCTCTCAGCTGCTGAGACCTAGTTCAGGCTGCAGGATCCAGGGCGGTTTGAAAGCCACTCAAGGTAATCCAGCTCGAATTCCTGTCACTAAGGTATTCTTTTATTTGGTGACATGGCTGAGGTCAAAGCCATTGCCTTAGTTACTATTGTTTCATAACAAACAGAGCCTTAACGTGATCTGTTCTGCCTCCCAAATCAACTCATCCGAAGCACTTTGAGTCTCCCACGGCAACTGCCAGGCTCAGCAGCCAAGTTGGCTGTAGAAGGACACCCACCGGGGGACTTTGGTTCCAGGTGGGTCTGATCCTGCTCAGGGCACTCAATGCCCCTGCTGGCAACGTACATAACACCTTGAACACTGGCCCCTTCCCGGGCTTTGGAGCTGCTCCTTTGTCTATGTGTCAGCTGGCAGAGAAAGACTTCTGTCCACAGAAGTTTAAAGTAAGGAAAAGGACTGACAGAGAGAGAGAGAGAGAGAGAGAGAGAGAGAGAGAGAGAGAGAGAGAGAGAGAGAGAGAAGGGCTGACAGCCGTCTCCCAAGTGGTTTCCTATATGGCAGTTATTCACTTAATGACTCTCCATGGTCCATGGACTGATCTTTAGTCTTAAAGTAAACACAAAGAGAGCAACTTAACCCAGTCACATGATGGATGCATAAAGCCATTCTCCACTTGTAGATGGATCTGGCAAGGAAGCTTGCCAGCTGTGGTCCTGAATCAGGACAGAGAAGAGTTAGGCAGGTGAAAGATGAAAATTGTTAAGACTGCACGGGGCAACCATCTCCATCAGAGGGTCTGACTTAGTAGGTTGAGAACACTTAAAAGATGATGTCTAACACTCTGGCACCACTGCTAACCAAGACAGAGTCAGATAGACATGCCCACCTTTGTCTCAGGGCCTCCCCTTCTTCTTTAGTTTTCATGGTGACTATGCGCTTGCAATCAATTAACATCAATTATCTTTAAATGCATTAAAATATTTAACCAAATTGGTCAAATCTCCGAGGCTTGAAAGCCAAGCTGTTTCTCTCAGATTTTGCCCATCACTGTTGGGATCCAGGTGGACCCTCCAGGGATAATTTATATTCTCATTCTTTAAGGGGGTCTCACTGCAGCCTCTGAGCATTAAAAAGAGCAAACTAATAACTTCCTAAGTGCCTACAATGTGCCAGGCATGATGCTAAGTAATTGGCATGTGCTTACTAATCTAATCCTCATTAAACCTTATGAGAAGGGGCCTGGTATTGTGCCCTTTACAAATGAGGAACCTGAGGCACAGAGAGGCTGAGTAACTTGACAAAGAACTGAGGGGAGGAGGCAACCCAGCTTCAAAGTCAATACCCTAAACTGATGTGCCACAAGCACTAATAACAGTAATTTCTTGAGAGGTCTTTCCCAAGAAAAACAACAACAACAACTGGATTTTCAGAGATAACGGATGGATTTTGCTGGAGACTGAAGATTGTTGAGTGTTGAATTAAATCTAGTCTTGATTGAATAAGTAGAATATGCAGAGGCCAACTTGGAAAGGGGAAGGCGGTGTAGCTAAGACCTTGGTCCTGGGAGCGGTCTCCCCTCCTGTCTGGTTTGGATTCACTGCTTTGCAGTCTCTCCTTTGAATTGCAGTATTATTCATTCCGTAGACTTGTGTTGAGTACTTTCTATACAACAGACACTAGACCACCAACACACAGCTATTGCCCTGTCTGGTGAGGGCCTTCCTAATACGGTAAGATATTCCCAGTTGCTCCCACCTACATTATCTAGTTAAGACTCAGAATCACCCCATGAAATAAGCAAGGTGGGAATTGATATGCCCATTTTATAATTGGGAATACTGAGGCACTGAGGAGTTAATTGCTCTGTCCCATGTCTCCAGCAATCACACCCACTAGAACCAAATGAAGTGCTCTGTTGCCCCATCTACATAAAGTAACTCATGTGGCCAATCTGTAAGGAGGCTATCGCTAATCATCAATGAAATAGGAAAAATAAGGAGATGGAGAGGTTTTTTTTTAATTAAACTAAATTTCTTATATTTAAAGAGCTATCTTCTTAAATTATACTATTTTTAGGTATTAAAATGCCCTTTTATAGTATTGGTAGGGTTTTTGTTCTTGTTGTTGTTGTTGTTCTTATTTTATAATGCACTTATATGACAAAAACAAAATGTTGGTATTTCTGTTGTTTCCCAAACCTGTATGCTGGCCTTTGAACCATTACCCTAAAAATGCACATGACCCTGAGAGAGATAGAAAGTCCACTCCATCCTTCATGAGCACAGATGAACCCTCACCTAGGGGGCCTGAGACCATGGCCTTGATTGAGAGGACAGGGACACTTTGAAGAGCCTTGGATTGAGAAAAACAAAGAGCAGTGATATGCTGCAATCCCTTTACTCTGATTTACACACAGGACACATGACTTTCCATAGCCATGGCAACTAGCCAAAAATGATAAGGCTGATTAATTCCACAAGGGCATTAATTATTCACATGTCACCAAATATTGACTTTTACCAACCCTCCTTCCCCCCAGCCATCTGCCCTGCTGTGTCAAATCAAAATAAATCCACAAACAAAAAATGGCAGGCAAATGACACCCCAGGGAGGCCGCACAGCTGAATTCTGAGTGGCTACCCCGTTTCTCCACCCCCTCTTCCCCATCGACGAGGAGTGCATGTGAATGCATAAATACACACATACATGCACATTCACACTCACGCACACACAATGATATGGGTATGTAAAGGGGAAATGGTTGGGAGCAACTGGGGTGAAAAAGACAAAAGATTCTAGGAAGTAATGATAATAGGAAACCATTTATTGAGCTCTTATGTGCCAGGCATATAAATACCACAATAATGTTTAATCTTCACCACAACTATGAACTATAGGAACTATTATTATTTCCATTTTATAGATGAAATCTAAAAGTCAGTATATTAGTCAACTTGTCCAAAGCCAAACATCTAGCATTTTATGATCTGAAATCAAAGTTAATGCTTTTAATCCCTACATGAGCTGACTCGCCATTGCTGCCACCTGGACATGTTTTGCTACCTCTCTGAGCCTTCACTTCAGCATTATAATAATGGGGCAATAACGGTACCAGTTTACAGGGTAGTTGTGAGAAACTGGCGAGCTCATACATGCAATGTACTACTTGCAATAGTAAGTGCTCAATATGTATTGGCTGTTATTATTGATATTATTATTATTTTTATTACATAACATTGTCTTCCTTAGTTGAGTGAAAGAAGTGGAAATCAGATTTTACAGGCAAAGAGGATATGTTTGGGGGTGTGAGCATTCTTAAGGATCTAGTACCAAGAGAGCTACATTTCTACTCCCAAGCAGAGGATGTCATTTTCTCTATACCTGCCCACACCACGTGGTGCCTTCCTACGCACTGTGGATTACTGAGCATCCTGCTTTCCTCTAACTTCCTTCTGTCTCCACTCTTATGACAGCTCTCCAGGGTGGCCATTCACCCCATCTTCTGTCGCCCTCTGTCCCTGAGTCAAAAGCTGATAGATTGTCTGGTGAGAAGCAGTTAGGATGAATCGCCACCTCAATGGCTTGGCTGCGGTGTGTGTCACACCTGCAGCAACTCCCAATAGAGGACAGGAAGGTCAGCTCGTGGCTCCTGCCTGCTCATCTTTCAAAGCAATTTCCAGCATTTTTTCCCTCCACTGCTTTGCACCAACCTATGGGAAAACACAACAATTAATTGACTGTAACATCCCTAACAGCTGCTACCCAGCTCCGTGCGGGGTTAGTGGTGCACGATAACAACTTTGAATTTAGTTTTAAATGTTTTAACTTGGAAAATAGAACCAACAACCCCTGTGAATATGAGTTATTTCAGTGCGGCTCCTTTCTGGCACGCATCAGAAACTGATGACTAAAATCCCAGTCCCCAGCCTGAGCGTGTCCCACACGACCTTTTTCCCATTGATTGTGTTTTCAATAGTCGCCCAAGGCCAGCGAACAGCTGTTTGCTGGTTCCCTCCAGAGTAAGCTGCAAATGGGGCATCACTGGCTTGTACTTTATGCTTCTTTGAGAGACGTGCTCAAATGTGCCAAATGGAAGGGAGGAATCACAGAATGGGGACTAGGATGCTAAAATTGGAAATTTCTACTCGTCATCAAGATACAAAAGATGTGAGTAAAAACCAAAGTGTAGATTTAAAAGAGAGAGGCTCATAACGATTGTGCTGGATTATTCTATTGTCAACTTGTTTACACTGGTATTGCATGTCCCAGAGTCACTTTTATAGAAGACTAGAGGCCCAGTGCATGAAATATGTGCATGAGTAGCCCTTCTTTCCCCTGGCTGCCCACACCAGCTTCCCTCTGGCACCCGTGCTTCCCTGAAGCTTCATCCAGAAGGTTGTTGGGTCTAATTAGCATATTATGCTTTTATTACAATAGATGATGAAATGTAAACTTGTGTGGGATTAGAAGTGAAGCAATTGTGGGTGGTTGCTATGGGTGGTTGCTATGGATTAAAGGAGGTGAGAGACAAATGCAGAGGTGCAAGTGGATTCCAGTTTGTTGTTGCTTTTCCCTGCAGCAAGTATAGCTGTTCTTCCCAGCCCCACAACAGACATTTTCTGTGAACTCTAAGGTAGCAACCATGAGGAACAGACAACCTTGCCCTGATCCCGGTATATCTCTTACCTCTCAGGAGGTGTGGGCACCTGTGTTTCGGAGACACTGCTCTGACTGGTCCAGACTGCATCACCTACTTCCTCCCAGCTCTTCGTAAAGACTCAGTGCACCGAGGCACTCACAATCACGCCTCCTAAAATGTCGGGGAACACGAATCTTCCGCATCTGAGTGTGCAGCCAACTCCGTTAAATGGCACAGGAGGCAGAGGGATAAAAGCTCCGAATCCTCACCCCATCTAAGCGGGGCACTGCCAGATTTCTCTCCACATGCAAACAAGCCTATTTGTTATTTTGAGCCATGACTGAGGTGGCACGTATGACATACAGCAAAGTGGTAATTATCTCTAGAAACAGAAAGACGAAGACATACTGTGTGTCTGATAAGATAAAAGCAGCAGCAGATAAAAACATTTATAAAGGGAGCTGATGGCTATCTGCCCAGCAGGAGCCTGGAAACTCACCCACAGAATGCAAAGAAATGAAGCAAAGTCCGCCACGTTCTGTGATGGCGGCATACGAGCATGCTGTCCCACTGGGAGAGTCAGTGATCAGATAGGATGCCTGATGCTGGGCTTTGGAGGCACTGTGTGGGATGGCAGCTTCCTGTGTCTGAAAAGCAAGGGTAGTCCCTGTTTACCTCTTAGAGTCACGGTGATGTTTTAGTGAGTGGGTGCAAGTCCAAGTGCCGTGTGAGCTGGGAAGCATCACCTATTTAAGGCGTTCTCCAACAGGAGCATAAGTGTCACAGGGGAGAGCTGTAAAAATATACATCCAAGGCCCCAACTCCCGAGGTGCCGGGACCATAGGCTTGAGCTGGGGCTCAGGAATCTAGATTCTGAGCAAGTACTTCAGATGAACAGCTTCAAGGGTGCTCTTTGGATCCCCATTTGAGGAAACAGGCGCCGTGAAGTCCACACGCTTGCCCAAGGCCACCCAGCTGGTTAGTGATAGAGCCAGTTCTCAGGAGGCAAGTGAGGAGGGAGTTTGTCGGGGCAGGGCGAGGAGTGGTCTCCTCCAAAGCAGTGATCACAGTGGCAGCCCGTGTCCAGAAGCTGCCAGCACTCCCAGGATGCTGCATCTCTGAACCCGTTGAGCTTTAGCAAACAAATAAGCCTGGGGCAGGTGTAAACAGACTCACTCCAGAGCGATAAAGGGAGAGCAAGAGGTAGAAACTATGATTATCAAATGGGTGCTCTGTCACTCTGAAGATCCACTGAAGTGTGTCAAGTGCCCAGGTGATGAGAATGCCATTCTGCACCATCAGCATACAAGAGGAGAGGGAACTGCACTCAGAAAGATGTTTTCAGAAATAGAGAAAATGAGTGAGTGGGGTTATGAAACCCAGAGTCATCCAGTGTTAGAGGTGGATGTGCCTCTGGGAGTTGCCGGGATTGACCCCGTATTACAGATGGGAAAACGGAGCGTTGGTGAGGGAATGTGCCAAGGTTGGACAGCAGAACCCAATCCCAGACCCTGGGGTTCTGCTCCTCAGGCTGGTACTCATTTTGCTTCACACCTTGGTTTAAACCAACTTATAACTAAGTTGAAAGGGAAAATGCTCAAAGCGTTTGCCATGAAAATAACCCACGGGGTCACCTACTACCCATCAGGCTTATCCAATTGTCTCCATTTTCTGATCAGAACAAGGATGTGCAAAGACACCAGGAAAAACAATTGCCCTGCTCACCCTCGTAAGTCCTGAAGAGCCTCACAAAATTCCCTTTTTTTCTGTTTATCTTGGTAATGAATTCTCTGAGCCTTTGACCTGCCAGTTCAGTTATCTTTCTCTATCTCTGACAAAGCCTAGCTGTGGGGAAAGATAATATTTTCCTAATCAAATGGGTATCAGTGGGATCTATGGAGCACCTTCTAACATATTCTTTAATGACTTGACTCTTCAGCAGCTTCTCTTAGGAAAAAGCCTTAGGATATTATGTAAATATGAAGGAACAGTCTAGATTTTATTCAACTCATCTTTTTAAAACTTTTTAAAAAACTTGTTTGTAAGTGGAATCAAAACAAACTTAACTCTTAGATACAGAGAATAGATTGGTGGTTGCCAGAGTTGGTGGTGGGAATAATAGGGAGTGGACAAAATGAATGAAGGTGGTCAAAAGGTACAAACGTCCAGTTATAAAATAAGTCCTGGGGATGTAATGGACAGCATGGTGACTATCTATGCTCAAAGCGTTTTATAATAATAAAAGAATAGTATGCTAATTAGATCGGACAGCCGAACAACCTTTTGGATGTCCTTCTGGGCAACCTGCCAGATGAAGCCGTGGCTGCGAGGGCCAAGGCAAGCCGCTGCTGCTGTGAGGGCCAAGTCTCTTGCACGAATTTCATGCATCAGGCCTCTAGGAGATAATAATACTGTATTGTGGATTTGAAAGTTGCTAAGAGAGTGGATCTTAAAAATCTATCACAAAAAAAGGAACGTATTACTATGTGAGGTGATGGATATTAACTAGACTTTTTGTGGTAACCAGTTCACAGTATATACAAATATAGAATCATTATATTGTACAAGTAAAAATAATACATGTTTTATACAATTTACATCTCAACTTTATATACAGGTGAGGCAAAAATATTTTTTTCTGTTAGAATGGAAAATAATACATTTAATAAATAATAATACAAGAATAAACTGTGTTTTGCATACTCACAACTGTAAGCCTATTTTTGCCTCACCGTGTGTGTGTGTGTGTGTGTGTGTGTGTGTGTGTTGATGTGCACGCGCGCATGTGTGTGTGTTGGTTAACAGAAACCTTGAGCTTTATAGCTTTTTCTACATTCACAATGGCAAGAAGAAATTTGAACAATTATGTAGATTTGTTGAATTGTAGCTTTCAATCCGGACCAATAGGTATAAATACTCAGGGTTTGAAAGACCTAGGTTAGAATCTTTTCTCTGTTGCTTAACCTTGCTGTGCTGCCGTTTCCAAGCTATAAAGATCCTATCATAGCACCTCCCTCATGGATATAGCGTGAGGGTTATGCAAAATAATGACTGTAAAACACATGACATGGAGCCTGGATCAATAAATGTTCAGTTTTCCTTCCTATGTAAACCAAAGGAGAATCTCAAATCTCTATCTCATTTTGCCTTTCTGGATATGGCCTCCAAACATTCTGAATGGCACAGGGGCAGCTCTGACAGTGAACAAATAACCTCTCTGAGCAAAATGAAGTTAATTGATCTGTGTGTTTGTTGCTTGGAAGGTAGGATTACTGTATTTGTTTCCTAGGGCTGCCACAAACATCTACCACAGAGTGGGTGGGTTACACAAATTTTCTCTCTCACAGTTGTGGAGGCCAGACGTCCAAAATCAAAGTGCCAGCAGAGCTGGTTCCTCTGCAGGCCCTGAGGGAGAATGTCTCCCAGCTCCTGGCAATCCTGGCATTCCCTGGCCGTGGCTGCCCTCCAATCTCTGCTTTCATCTCTATGTGGCCTTTTACTCTGTGTCTATGTAGCTCAAATTGCCGTTCTGTCTTCCACAAGGATACCAGTCATTGGATTTAAGGTCTACCCTAAGTCCAGGATGATCTCATCTTGAGATCCTTAACATAATTACATCTTCATAGATTAAGGTGACCAGATCGTCCCGCTTTTGGCGGGACAGTCCAGATTTCTAACAATTTTTCCCGAGTCCCGTGGCATTTTTAAAAAGTCTCAATTTTTGGAAAAAATCTTTCCAATCTTTCTAAGCTACCCAGTTTGTGTTCATTTGTTACAGCAGGCATAGGAAACTAATACAGACTACCCACACACACTCCAATTTCCCTTCCCAAACTAGACATCTACTTTTATGTAGTTGATAGATGGCCTAATACAAATATGAATACTTATAAAAGAAGTATTGTTGTTTTGAGGGTATTATGTGTTTTTGATTAATATTATTCAGACTATACTTGAGTTCTTACTCTGTTTCTTTCTTTTTTGTACTCAGCTCTATACTTTTAAGGTCTTTCCACATTGCCATGCATACACATCTGGCCTGATGTGTTCATCTGTTGCAGAACATTCTGTAGCATGCCTCCACCAGGTATCCCTTTTCCACTCTTGTAAAGGTGGGCATCTCAGTTGCTCCCAGCTCACTGCTGTCAGACTACCATTTGAATCAAATTTAAAAATTTGCTTCATCAAGAAGCAGATAACCACTGATGCAATTTTTTAAAAAATATATATTTTATTGATTTTTTTACAGAGAGGAAGGGAGAAAGATAGAGAGCTAGAAACGTCGATGAGAGAGTAACATCGACCAGCTGCCTCTTGCACACCCCCTACCGGGGATGTGCCCGCAACAAAGGTACATGCCCTTGACCGGAATCGAACCTGGGACCTTTCAGTCCGCAGACCGATGCTCTACCACTGAGCCAAACTGGTTTCGGCCACTGACGCAATTTTATAGGATCAGGTGAAAAGAACAGATTATAGTTGGACCAAAACTACAAGATAAAACAGTCAGGTCTGTAAGTGTTTGAATGACAAGTAATAATTCTTAGGTTCCTTTGGCCCATCCTTTCCTCTGCCCTGGCTTTCCCTCTCTCCATGAGATCCCATGAAATTGAAAGGTCTAACAGGTCCAGATGTGCTGCTTGACGGGTTGGAATGGAAGTCAGCAGCTATTTTCTCTCCAGCATCCTCTGGGAAATCCACCCAACTACATGTTCCTGCCTGTCCTTGCTTTCCAAGCTGTAATGTTCAATACCAAGTGGCAGAATGCCATGTACAGGACATTAGTGTCAGGGAGTAGTGCAAGGACTGGGAGGGACAGGCGTAGCCCCTGACAGGAAAAGAAGCTGAAGCTATTTAGCTGGAAGAAATGTTCATGGGATGGGCTCAGCTGGCTCCAAGTGTATAAACAATGATGCTAAACAATTGTGCTTCTGCTGAGTCAAAGAACGGACACGACACGCGCACGCGGACTTGAGCTGATACACACACACACACACACACACACCAGCTAGCTCAACCATTCAGAAGGGCTTTTTAACAAGTGAGGCTAGAGGCAACAATTATGCGACTCCAAAGCTGGAAGATGTGGACTGAAGTGAGCTCCATCAGAGCAAACACTGTCTGGAAGGGACAAAGACAGTCTCTCGTGGCTCTATCACTAGTTTGCTTCAGAACCTGAACTAAGCCCCTTCACTTAGGCTTCCTCATCTGTCGAGAGGAGGTTCAAAATATGTGTCAATACAAAATTAAATAAAAATATAATGTACACCTAAATGCAAGAGCCAAAGTTATAAAACTTCATGAAGAAAACAGAGGCAAAAATCCTCATGACCTTGCATTACATAAAGATTTCTTAAATATGATACCAAAAGCATGATCCACAAAAGAAAAAAGAAATAAATTGCACTTCTTCATAGTAAAAAAAAATGTTTTCTAAAATACATTGTTAAAAAAATTAAATAGGAACCAAATACTGACAGAAAATATTTGTAACATATAACTGAAAAAGGATTGTATTCAAAATATGTAAAGAATTCTTAAAATTCAATAATGAGATGGTATTTGAATAAATATTTGGCCAAAGAAGACACATCCATTACCTTAATCTATTATATCTCAGCTTAAATTTCATGTCTTCTCAGAAGCA